GACTTCATGGTTACATAAAAAGGCTAAATTAATAGTATCTACAAGTACATATTTTCACGGGGACCTAACCAAGAGATAATCTACAGAGAACATCTACCTAGGTCATTTATAAAAGAGATAAGTACTATTTATCTTACAATGGGGAATCAATAACAGTGCTGAGAGAAACTGAATAGTTACGTGATTATTGTGAAAGGTCTTTCAAGTGATTTTCATTTTATTTTGAGTAAATATCCTTCCACTTGTAAGAAGGAACTTTTGAGTAATAACTGAGGGATACAACATACCCATGTGTTTCACTCATGTCACTGACGAGAAGGTCGACAAGTTGTCTTCGAGAGCGGTGACTTAGTGATCTCACAGAATTATAATCTTTAAGGATCTCTCGGTCACCAGGGTTTTCCTGCAGTTCCACCATCTACAAACATGTGAAAAATGTAAAATGACAATCTACAATTGTACCAAAAGTCTTATGATACAAAATGCAGCAGGACCTCTTTAGCTGTGTCCTTCTCACACATGTCCTGATTGGATCTCCTTGTGACTGCCACAGAGGATTCTCCTTTAGGAGGAGACTATGGGTTCAGGTCAATTGAAAGTGATGGTTTCCATTTCCATTTTAGAAAGATCTGATATCATATAAATATGAAGCATTACTTAATAAGAGTCGTCCATATACTTTGTCATTTCATGATTTTGAATGTGAAATAAATGTGTCTCTCCCGTGTCTCCTCCTGAAGCAAAACTCCTGAATTTAAAGCTCGGATACCCACATTTTTCCTCCATGCATTAACAATGCATGTTATTTGTGCACAAAAGTAAAATGTTGTGAACAAATAAAACACGCAACAGGCCATTTTTTATGATTGTTTTGCAGACTTAAGAGCCCTGTGAGTCCTTGTTTGACTTTTTGGGCTGAGAGTGGACTTAAGGTTTTTTTTTTTCCCCACACAGTTAGTGCCACTTTATTCCCAAACTCTAGTTAACTCATTATATTGAGAAATGTAGAGTTATCTTCAAGTGTGTTGTGACCGGGCGACGTCACGGTCCTTTAATATATTACGTGTCATTCACACTGGACAGAATAAACCCGCCTTAACGAAGTGTATTTCCCCAGTTTAGCTTTTGCCAAAAGGTTACAGCAGATATAGCTTCAAGTTTCATTTTTGTCACTTTCTTTCTTGTACTGTTTTTTTTCCCTGTATTATTTAAATTGCTTTTTCAGGTGGAAGTTAAGGTTGTTAAAGCAGTACTGAGTAAGTTATCACCTACAAGTGTCACTGCTTGTTGTGTCTTTTTCATAATTGTACATAGTAGTAAAACACTGTACTGACAGACAAGACAAATGGAGGGGGATGTACTTACCTTTCTCCTTTTCCCCATCTCCTCTGCTGTACATATGTGCATTACAACACCAAACACAATCATATGTCATTTCTTTTTGTTATTGCTTTATGAACTTACACAGGAATCGAGGAGCTTGGAAAGCTTAGCGCCAGCAGCCCCCCTTTTGGCCTTAAAGAGCTTTATGAACTGTGTCGTTAGGCAATCCAATGCTTCAACGAAATCATTGCCCAGTTTGGAGCTGGTGATCTGGTTAAATTCTGCCAGGACCTGCAAAAAAAAACCATAAAACACTTCAAGTTAAATGCATAGTTGTAAAAAATGTGTTCACACCTGTCTCTCTGTATAAAGTTCTGGCCAGCGCGCTTTGACATTTTCCAGGTAGGGCAGAAATGACAATTTCTTGGTGCTGTGTAAGCAAAAAAAAGAATAATCAATATATATAAAACAATATCACATGATTTTTGCTCCAATGTGTTTAAAGGGGGTCTAGATTCACACAATAACATTATCAAGCAATGGACTTTATTCACCATATTGCTGGCTTGAAGTGACAAAAACAAAAACAAAAAACAAAAAAATGAACAGAAAGACAAAAGTGACAAATGAGATGAAAAAGTACAATAATAAAAGTGAAAGTCTTCCCACCTCTACACCTTCTCAACCGACTCCCACTGATGACTGCTGTCGTTGTGTCCTTGGGCAAGACACTTAACCCCACTTTGCCCAAAGCCCCCACTGAAAGATCAAGGCTATGCTCACACTCAGAGCAGCCGTCCTCCTGTGGACTCACCACCTGCAGAGGGTCAGTGAGGGGCTGGTGCTATGAGACTTGGGTGGCATCTCTGACTGCCACCCCCCTGACCCAGAAATGGATTAAAGGGTAGAAAATGGATGGATGGATGGATGGAAAGTCTTAGCGTTCGATTGTAACATTTTCAGCTGAACTGGTGAAAAAGGCTTTGTTGAGGCAGGGGTAAGAGGTACCTGACCAAGCACATTTTCTACTGTTTGGCTTGACCCAAATCTAATGCTGCGTTCAGACCGGATCATGCGGGTCAGTCAATGGCAACGTGTGTTCGAGCGTCAAAACGCTTGGACCCAGCTCAGAGCAGCTTAAGCCTAGTGTAGTTGCGCGGCGCTTACGATAGTGACGTGACGTCACTTGCGCAACGCGTGGATCACCGCAAGGCCCTTATGTGCGTAGCCTGCCGCACATCCTCAAAAATGTCTAACTACGCGGCCGCCCCTTCAAGGAAGCTCCACTGTGATTAGTCCGTGTGTGATTACTGTCTGGGAAGCATGGAGCGGCTGCAGGAACATGGACGAGGCCCAAACTGCTTTTCCTTCGAAGCATGAAGCAGTCTGCTCCGAAGGAAAAGCAGTTTGGGTTTATGCCAGAGCCTGATATACACGGGGACTGTGGATTAGAGTTCTGTGGCATATCTAACATATAACTTATATGTTAAATATAACTTATAAACTGTGTTGTCGTTTCTTTTGCACTGTTCCTGTCTTGTTTGAATCGGAGCCTATCGAGTCTGTTCCATTCCTCCCTCACTTGTAAATAGTTCATGTTTGTCTCATATTTACCAGTTTTGCTGTTTGTACTGAATACTATTTAATAATTACCATGTTTCAAACAAGAACTGTGTCTTTATTCACAACATCACAATTAAATGAGTTGAAACGATGAGTTTAGAAATGTCACATAAACCTACAGTAGAAACACATGTAATGATCTCAAACGGCTTGGTTCGCTATTGTTCTTGTTCTGAAGAGGAGAAAGTAGCAGCTTTTGTTTCTCAGGCAACTCCTGTGAGATCGCCATCACGTGGTTGGGTGTGGGATTACAACATTCTCTTCAAAACACAGACCTTGTTGGAAACATGGTTATTGTTAAATATTATTCAGCACAAACAGCAAAACATTAAGTGGTATCTGAGACAAACATGAACTAGTATTTACAAGTGAAGGAGGAATGGAACAGATGCAATAATCTACGGGTGCAGATTCAAACAAAGACAGGAACAAAGCAAAAAAAACAAATGATATATGTTAGATATTCCACAGAACTCTAGTCCACAGTCTCTGCGTATATCAGGCTCTGCCATGAGCCCAAACTGCTTTTCCTTCAGTTCTTTCGAAGCAGTCTGCTCTGAGCGCCTCGTCCATGCTCCTGCAGCTCCATGCTTCACAGAAAGTTATCACACACGGAGCAATCATAGCGGAGCTTCCTTGCGGCGGCGGCCCGCGTAGTTAGGGCCGGGAATATGGCTCTGAACACGGCTACAGTTAGCTACTAACAGCTACATTCACCGCTGTCCTCAGTAAACTCCCGGAGGCCGAGAGAGCGGCTCTCAGGCCTCTGGGAGAACGGCTCTGAACACGGCCACAGTCACTGCATTCACCGCTGAGCTGGTCGAACACACGAGTTTTATAAGATAATATAGTCGAATGTACACTCGTTCTTAACACACTTCTTTAGCTTTATACCTTATAAAAATGAACAACGTGTCTTAACACTTACCGTACATTTAAAGGAGTCCTATTTTGTTGCGTTTTGCGCATGCGCCACGTGCGCATTCATTTTCACAAAACAAGTTTTGTGAAGTCGCCAAATTTTGGTTGTGTAAAGAGAGTGATGATAAAACAGCCGTTTGTGTGTGAGTGTGTATACATATATATACTGTTAGTATTAGATAGCAATATGGCCTACGTACAGGACTGTACAAGGACTCTGATTATTTTGACTATGATGTGACTGTCTCTGTGTGACACGTATGTCTTTCCATGTGTGACGTGACAATGACTATATAAACTGTGTACTGCCTTTATTCTGTCTGAGAGAAGGAAACAATGGAAACCACTGGAACTTGAGAGAAACTTAAATAAACTTCCAGAGTTTGGCGCACCACGATCCGTCTCTGTCTGCTTCATTCCTGACAGATTTGGTGGAGAATGCGCGGCTCAGTGTGCGCCATTTTCTGGTTGTTTTGAGGAAGTTTCCTTTGTTTCTTTTCCTCGGCGTGAGAGACCGGCATGCTGTGTCTGGGAACGGAGATTCCAGCAGGCTGGAAGAGCTGTTCCTGGATGCTTCTTGTAGCTTCTGTCACTTTTGTTTATTAAATTGAATTTTCCGACGCGGAAAAGAGTTGGCAGACCTCTCGGACAGTCCTTGGAACCGGTTTGACAAGAATAAGGTAAGCAGACACCTTTTTATATGTAAAGTCTGCATAATTGGATACTAGCTAAATTTTGGTCTGTTTTTGAGGTCTGTCGAACTCTCTCTAAATTGTGTTCAAATAAAGTGAAGGATCCAAAAAGTGTATAGGCCATAAGTGAAGGATCCATAAGTGTGGGCCATAAAGTGAAGGATCCAAAAGTGAAACCATGGTGTAAACATAAAAGCAATAAAAAGGGAAATGTGAAAAAGAGGCCTTTGTTACAAAAGCTTTGAAATTGACGAATTTCAGGCTGATAAATGACAAAAGTACATAAGCAACAATATGTTACATTCAGTGATCACGGTTTAAATTACATACAGAGAAAGGGAGTTTTTCTTTTTTAGTTTGTTTTCGGCGTGAACAGAGTTTATCTATATATATTCTTACTTCTAAAGATATTTTATCAAAATACATTACGACGTTAATGCCATGTTTGATTTCTCTTTATCTTTAAGCTCAGTCTGCCGCTACACACACTACTACAGTCCCAAGTACTGCCACGCCAAGGTTTACTGCCCCCTCTACAGCCCTGGACAGCAGCGCTTCCTCCAGTGAGCAGCAGTCAGCTATATCCCATACTGCAATGGTCAACATTTCGTCGCCTACCTCCATTGACCAAGAGGACCAAACAGAACCACAAGCACCCACTCCAGGTATGATATTAGTGCAATAATGTATTTAGTTAAAAAAATGCTTGAATTTTACACACTATGGCCCTTTGTAGTATCTACCATATCTATAATTTCAAACAAATATAAGAGGTATACTTGAAAATAAATCAATATCTAAGTTGGTTTGTATTTTGAAGATGTGTAAATTAAAAATACATAAATAGTAATGTAAATATGGACATACTTAGCAAGCCATCTTTAGCAACAATTGTAATTGTAAAGGCTGTAAAAAGAGACTAAACATAGTGTTTGTTCAAGTAATGATATCACATCAGGATTATTTATGGTTATTGTGTTTTTCTTTTGAGAATTCATGTGTTTTTTTAATTGGTTTCAGCTCAAACGACATCCACAGACCAAGAAAAAGCAACACCAATAAGATTGACATCTTCTGATCCTGGACAGTGGCCTGATGTTCTTAATGATGGTGAAAAGAGTTCCCTGGTGAAAAAAGGTCCTCTTCAGGTGACGGATATTGTTTTTCCTCAAAGCAATGAACAAAATCCTCGGAGATTCACAAAGGAAAATTATTACATGGTCATGAGAAATGGTGAAAAAATAAAGCGAACATGGCTAGTATATTCAAAATCGACCGATTTGCGGTCGTTTTGCTTTGCTTGCAAAATATTTGGCAAAAAGGACAATAATGCTCTAACTAAAGGAGGGTTTAAAAACTGGAAAAACCTTGTTGCACATTTAAAAGAGCATGAATATTCCAAACCCATATAAATAACATGAAAAGTTGGCATGAGCTCCAGATAAGGTTAAAAACAAATACACCAGGATCTATTGCACCTTGAGGAGCAGCTCTGGAAAACAGTAATCCACAGGATTATTGCTATAATATGCAAGTTCTACAAAGAAGTATTGTCACAGAGTTGAGAACCTATAAGCTTTATTGTTTAGTTGTTAATTATGTTTTCATAATATTGTTGTTCCGCTGATCTTTGTTGTTAGTATTTTGTCAATTCTGTTTCAACTTTATGATGCAAAATAAATAATATTTATATCTACTGCAGTATTAACCTTTTTATGTGGTTATATGGTCGGTATCAGGGCCCCCAAGGACTCTTTTGCCTGGGGCCCCGGGGTACCCTTGGAACGCCACTGTGTGACAGGAACCCCCCCCCGCCCTCGCTGCGCTGCTGCTGCTGCTCTGATTTAAAGGGGACCTACTGCTTTTAGGATTTTGGCTTTTCACAGTTTTTATTCCGTTAAATTTGCTAAATTTGCAATTGAACAATGTGTTATGACACAGTTAAACATTTTAAACACCATTTAGTAAGAATAAGTTTTGAATATTATATGTTTTTGAAACCCAAATATTAGTGCTAAAGCTTTGCTTTTCTTTTTAAATCTGCTGCTTATTTTTAGAGTCCATTATTGTATCGCTGATATTTCATAGCTGTTTGTAAGAATTTTTCTCATGTATTTTTTATTTTAGTTACAAAAGCCGTTTTTCAAACATTTAAATTAGAATCTGTTAAAAGTGATTATTGATCATAGACTTCGTCTAAAAAGAAAGAGGGAATTAGGATTAGCTGTAAAAGTATTATATTGAGTTGAACTCTACCCAATTCACCCAATTCACATTGCAAGCAGTGACTTTTGTTTTTGTTTTGACTATGCACCTGACCTTGCTCCTGCTGCTGATGCCACAGCAGAGGAGCCTGATCTGAAATGTGCTCCAATTCATATTGACTTGCAGCATTTTATGCTGCAATTATTTTAAATTAGTAGAATAAATGCTGAGATAAATGTTCAAGTGTAAAAGGGAAATTCCATAAAGTGATTAATCCAGTTTAGTTAATCTTTTGATTTGATTTCATGTTTTCAAGTTATGTTTTAATGTTTTTTAAAATTAATGTTGATTTTTATAGAGATTTTTCATAATTTCATTTCATGGCGCCTTTCAAGAAACCCAAGGACGCATAGATAATTAAACACACAGTACAAAAGTACATAATACATATTTTAAAGTTTGAAGGTTTTTTGAGATTTGAGTCTTGTTTTTTATTAAGAGAGTTTCTGGTCTTAAAATGTCATCATTAGTAAGATAATAAGTAATCTTTATTTATATAGCGCATGTTGGAAAGCCAAGAGCGCTCCAAAATTGTTTAGACTTTAGAGAGAAAAACAATCTCATTCACAAACTGTTATCTGTTGTTTTGAATTAGACTATAAGGTTGTGTTCCAGAACCAAGGGCACACACTGTACAGGGGTCACTGGACTGAGGGAGTGGACACTGAGGGATCAGAACAGCCCAGAGTAGACACCATCCAACCAGCCGCAGATCGTAAAGGCGACATAGCTACCTCCGTGTGCGCCCCCCCCACTACAGACCGATGGTCGTAAGTGGCAGTGAGACCGGGGCCACGAAAGTGGGGTTATCTGTAGGCAGTGGTGGGTGAGTTGTTTTGCAATCTGGAAGTGTGCCCACTTTGCTTGTTTACATCGAGCCAGTGTGACCTTCTAATGCAGGTGGTTCGAGGAGTCTGGAGACACAACCCCAAAATTCACACACACACATACATCTACACACATACGCACTCACACAATCATACACTCACACATTCACATTTACATATAGATACATGAAAAAGCAGAACATGAGAAAAAGCATTTTAAAAGTTTACTCCAATGTAAACAAATATTTTTAATTGTATAACAATTGAATCTTTATTTGAATCAGTATTTTTTTTGAGACCAGAAATGTCCATTTGAATTCTATATTGTCATGGACTTAATTGGCCTGTCTTGACATTTTTTGTTTTGATTTTTTTATTTTGTACTGTGTGAAGTAATTACATTGATTAGGATTAGATAAAAAAAAAACACAAATTAGAGAAGTAAACTGAATCATTGCGCTTGCTTTTGTCTGAGGGACATTAGCAACAGCATGAATAGAAATCGTCTTTAAAGTAGAATCAAAATGACTTAACCATAGAAAGTAACTACTTAACACAACAACAATGAGCTACACGGCTCATTGTTGTTGTGTAGCGTTAGCAGCTCTGACGCATGGCTAATTCCTCACACTTTCTGTCAATCGTGGCTTGTTAAGCCCAAAAAATGAGCACGTATCTTAGAGTTGTGTTGGATCGACACCAGTTGTATTCAGACCTGAATACAACTCGGACCAGAATTCGTTTGGTTCTTTGGTCCGGACCAGAATTCGTTTATGTGCATTCACACCTGCATAAAAGGTCCGAATCAGAGTTCCAAACGAATCCTGGTCCGTTTAAAGTGGACTAAACGTGCAGGTCTGAATACACCCTTAGGGTGAATACACCCTTAGGGTGTATTCAGACCTGAAAAGTCCTTTGCTCCGCTTGCTTGATCCGAATCAAAAGCGGACCAAACTTTTTTCTTTTGCTCCGGTTCGTATTCAGACTGTCCTTTTTGCAAGTGAACTTTTTAATATAAACATATTGACACGTGTGACGATCGGCGCTCCTATTGGACAGCGAGAGCTCACGGAGGATAGACGCGGAACCGGAGGAAAACATTGAGGGCTCGTATGTGCAGCATGTCTGCTCTACCTCTGTTTGCTCTTTTTAGAGCAAAACCACCTTCAACAGCAGCTCATATGACGCAGGCGAAACACGTTGTTTTAAATATTGGAACAGCGTCGGAGAATGCGTGAGGAGAAAGCCGAAGGAGACTGTCTGTGCGCTCCGTGTCCTGTCCCACACATGGATCTATTATAATAACGGCCCTGTTCAGCATTGTGGATAAACCATGGATCTATAATAACCACGGGACAAACAGACGCTGAGGATAAGGTAGGAACCAAAGAACACAATTCACTACATGATGCGGAATATTGCTCTTTGAGACGTGAGTCAAACAGTGTCAGGCTTTTAATAATGCAAATGATTTGAAGATGCTGCCATTAACATTAATGTATACTGTGAACAGTTTTAACTCCATAAGCCTGTTGCACAGCGTCTCCTCACTGCTCCAGGTCTGCACACGGCTCATTGTTGTTGTGTAGCGTTAGCAGCATAGTTAGCAGCATAGTTAGCCGCTGCATGGCTAATTCCTCAGTTTCTGTCTGCGGTGCTTGTTAAGCCCAAAAAATGCGCACGTATCTTGGAGTTGTGTCGGATCGACACCGGATGTATTCAGACCTGATTCGACTTGGACCAGAATTTGTTTGGAAGCGGACCGAGACCACCTCAAAAAGTGGGTCTCGGTTCGGTTCTTTGGTCCGGACCAGGATTCGTTTGTGTGTATTCAGACCTGCATAAAAGCTTCGGATCAGAGTTCCAAACGAATCCTGGTCCGTTTAAAGTGGAGCAAATGTGCAGGTCTGAATACACCCCCAAATTCAAATGCATGCTTCTTTTTTCACTCTTGGAACCATAAAAAAGATTGATTTGCATGACACAAACTTTACGAGGATTGGAAAGGAATCAGATAATGTTTTAAATATTCGGGAAAACTGAGATGAATACATTTGAAATCAAACAGTGACCACTGTAGCTGACGTCTAGAGGACAGAGCGAGCCATGACAACGGACAGCGAAGGATGAACCTGCACAGGCTGTTGTCAGAGGCTGGAGAACAGAGGCAGAGGTGTTTTGATAAATTATATCAGTTATCAAGAATGGGGAGAATCAGTTGACTTACTGATAAACTAATACAGTTAATCGATTGATAAAGTAATTTTAAACTATAGGAAATGTTGTTATTATGCAAAATCAAAGGAAGGTTTCTCACCCATCATCTGTACTTCTTAAAAAGTTTTCCCGACGTTTTGTCCTCAAACCAGCGGACTTCTTCAGGGAATGAATTCTCAGACCGCGCGTTGGAGATTTATAACCTATAATATAATCCTGATGTAGTGGTACACCCTTTTTTGTGAGCGCTCCTATCAGCGCTCTGGCTTGTGGTATTTAAGGGCAGCCCTCCCCCGTACACTCCTGTTTTGCCTCGCCTCTGACGTCGGGACGCTGCTCGCTGGTGGCGTCCGAAGCACATGTTGCTGTAGATCCAGCCTTTACATCGGCTTTGTGACCCAGCGGGCACGCTTCTTTCAATCTGCGTCTCGATTGTCTGTGATCCCGGCACAGCCGTGGAGTGGGGACAGAGCGCGGCTATTGCGCAACCCCTCCGCAGGTGCAGCGCTCTGCTCTGTTTGAGCCGCGGGCAGGCACCCTTTACCGAATACACAGTCCACTTGTAATACCGGGCTCGTGCGTGCGCGCATCTTGGGCCTCTGGCTCCTGGTGACTTATGTGCGGGCTCCTTGGAGAGCTACATTTCTGAGCGAGTCTCCCCTTCTGGTACCCGGAGAAACACGACACCCTCGCTGCTGCATCACGGGCTATTCAAGCCCTCGGGTACAGGCCCACATCCATCGGGCTCCCCTCAGTGCGGGGCCACGGA